GAAATGAGGACTAAAAACTTGCAGGGTCAAATGAAAATAGATACTACTTTCACATTTAACAGTGACAAACAAACTCAGACAGCGACTGGTGCAGCTGTCTGGGCAAAACGAAATGAAGTTTTGCAAAGATCAATATTGTATTCAGAGATTATAATTATTGAGGCAGCTCTTCATTTAAAGTAAGATAAAATGGGGGGAATTTTTTAAAAAGATGACAAATCTGAATTTCAAAATTGAAGTGAAGCTCATAATTCTCAAAAATACTAGGAAAAGGGTATTTAAACAGCATCATTAATTTATTTTCTTCTAAAAAGGCAGAAGATCGTTAAAAGCATGGAATTCAGAGTTAGCCAGCTAGAGTCTTAACTCTGGGCTAGCATGGGACTTTTACCTTCTCTCTGCTTCAGTTTCCTTAAAGGTTTTGTGCAGATTAAATAAGGAAGATAAAGTGTGCAGAACAGTGCCTGTGACTTGGTAAGTGCTTCAAAAGTACTGTCATAAATATCATTTAATTACATGAAGAAAAAATATAATAAAGAAATAAAGTAAAATGATTATAAAAATTACAGTACTAAAGGAGAGAACCAAGATGGCACCATGAGTAGAGCAGCGGAAATCTCCTCCCAAAACCAAAAATATTTTTGAAAATACAACAAATACAACTAATCCTAAAAAAGAGACCAGAAGACACAGGACAATAGCCAGACTACATCCACACCCATGAGAACCCAGCGCCTCGCAAAGGGGGTAAGATACAAGCCGAGCGCCCCTCACCCCAGCTCCCAGCGGGAGGAGAGGAGTCGGAGCGGGGAGGGAGAGGGAGCCAGGACTGCTAAACATCCGGCCCTATCCATCCGCACCGGAGCGCAGACACAGGGCGTGCGTGGGGTGCTGAAAACTAGGGAAACAGGACAATAAGACCTGTGAGCGGGTCCCTGCAGCTGGCGCACCCGGGACAAAGAAAAGCGAGTGCTTTTTGGAAGTCTTAAAGGGACAGGGACCCCACAGCTGGACAGAAGTGCCCTGGGACACTTAGCCCAGCAGCTGCGAACCTCAGAGAGCTCTGGGTGCCCAAACCCCCACAGCGCAGCTCGGAGGCCCCTCCCCTCACCATGATAAACAGCCTCCTGCCTGTTCCCCCCTCCAACGTGGCTCCTCCATATTGGAGAAGCAGCCTGAGGCTGGCCATGCCCACAGCAACTGCAGAGCTAAATAAACTCCATAGCGGCTGGGCAAGATCAGAAGCCCCATCTGCACGCAGCTGCCCAGCACAAGCC